GTACAAGAGTGGGGTTTTTGGGACCAATAGTTGTCCGTTTTGTAAATCAATTCCATAAAAAAATTTAAATAAAATGAGCTATTTTACGAATATTTATTTATAATTTTTAGAATACCTAAAAATATATATATGAATTTTTAGCTAACAATTAAATAATTAAAATAATGACCAAAATATATTTTTAATATTCTATTATAAAATATTATATTCACCTAAATGACTTTTTTAAAAATCCATTTACCTTTTTTATCTTGTTTAATAGAGGGGTAATAGAGATTAGCTTATGTAGAGAGAGAGAAAAGGGGAAAATCTGACTTTGGGTGACTTCGAGCCATTTTTGTTTGTGGACCAAGTTGAGAAAGTTGTTCGTCTTGAAGTGGGTCACATTACGCCTATAATATGATAATATATGTGCATATGTGATTAAATTATATATGATGTGAGATATATGAGGCCAAAATCTTTTGAGATTCTCTTTGTGTCATCGAATATTCTAGGCCTATAAGGTATATTCTGATAGTTATAAGTCATATTCTAATGCCTATGGGCAAGTTATGGTGCTATAAGCACAAAAGGGAGTAATAATGGGTCAACATTCTTTGATATTTTGTCTAGGTCTGAAAATATATTATGAACTACGCTATGATATACATTGTAATTTATTTATCTACTTAGTATTGTTATTTAAATAAATGGATAACAACTATGCTCATATTACACTTTTTAGTATAATGATTTATTATACCACATTTAACTATTTTTAAATATTTAGCAAAATTTAAAAAAAGAATTTAAAATTTTATATTTAATTTATGCGGTATGCTGAGTTGTTATAGCTTATAATGGGTTTACTTCTAGTTTTTAGGATATGTGAAGGGAAAGGAGCTTGTGGATTAAAAGTTCAGGATTGGTCAAAGTTTATAGGAATTTATTTATTTTTATTTTTGTACATTCATGGTTATTTATTATTCAGTTCTGTAGCTTCTGTTTGTAGTCATAAACTGTAGTGTAGATATATTTTAATGAAATGAAAGAAACCTTATGAATGAGTTTATTTTTAGTATTTAGGTGTTTTAATAGCTCTATAATATGTAATTATTTTAAATTAACCTTGGAAGAGTATCTAAATATTTCAAAATTAGATATTGGGATTTATTTATCACAGCATAATATGATAGGACCTATCCTGATTAGGTTGGGTTGTGAAATATCTTATCTTAAGTAAACATGTAGCTATCTTATCCTAGTCTTACATAATAAAGATCACATATCACCTGAGTTTTTTTTGTTAATATCTCGAGGTCATGTTTTAATGGTTTATAAACCCAACACCTTAATATTTTTATGATCATTCACACCATTTAATAGTAACCTAAATAATTAAGGCTCACCCAAAGTGATATTATGAGCATTTGCTCTAATATTCTGCCATGACTTTTATTTTAGTGTTTATTATTTTATAGAGGGCAATGAATAATTGGATTTAGATGCCCGAACTTAATACAATTTTCTTTCATCATGGTCATTGGGCAATCCAACTATTATGTGCCCTTAATCCTATGACATTTTATAGATGATAAATAATATTTTGGAGTGCGAGCCTCAATTTCATGAGCAACATGTAATTGAGATCCTCTTGAAAAAATATATAAATCGGTTAAGTTTCTTTTGACAAAGTTCACCATCAACTGTAGCTAAAATGAATTTAATAGGCTATGTAAAAAAATCATTAAAATAATGTTTTAACAAAAGAATAGAGATTAAGTATAATATTTATGCCCTTGATAGATGAATTTTGCTTATAAACCTCAAGCACTTTAACCAAAATGCCTTAAACCTTAAATTATAAAAAAATTCCCTAAACACTAATTCTTAACCCTGAATCCTAAACCTTGATGATGCTTCCACATCAAAGTTTTAATCACTTCTTTTGACAATAGTGGTAATAAAGAGTAATTCATGATTGATGGCTTGAAGTTAAAGATTAAGAAGATTGTCAAGATAAACAAATTTTTGACTATAAATATATGGGCCATCAATGGTTAATTTTGGTTAAAGTAAACTTTATTGGTCAATTAGGTTTAGTCTTCATTGGGTTAAAATGGATTTAGATTGGAGTCATTAGTGAGTTTATCAAGTGAAGTAATCAAGCCAAAAGACCCTATATTTTAAAATACACAAAGTGAGATACAATATGATAGTCGTTACAAGTCATATTCAAAAATTCAAGGTAAGTATGTTGAACAATGGAATGATGCTTAAATATTTATATAATATTTGAGGAGGGCTTCTCAATTAGGATTGCATTGGAGCTATTGGTGGAACGCATATAGATGCATGTGTTTTAAATATTGAGAAGTTGGTATATATAGAATGATATAATTCATCGATACAAAATATCATGGTAGTTTGTAACTACAATATGTGCTTCACATTCAAAATGGCAGGCTGGGAGGATAGTGAACATGACAGCCGCATATTCAAATTTGCTTTACGTAATCATGAACATAATTTTCCTTTGCCACATGTAGGTTAGTTGTTGATACTAAAAAGTTTCATGCTATTGAAAATCTTTATAAGAAACCAATGCATACTTCCAAATAGGTTAATATTATCTTATGAACATTGAATATCTGATGTAACATGAGTTTTTGAAGCCATTTTCAAATATAAGGTATCATAGTCTAGATTTTGAAAGAGGTAGTTAATTGGTTCACGGTAGGTAAGAAAATATTTAATAAGCAACATTCGTCATTACATGGTGTCATTAAAAATATTTTTTGGTGTGTGGAAGAAGAAATACGTTATATTGCGTGGTGTGTCAACTTATTTATTTAAGAAGCAAGTGAAATATTGACGATTATAATGACTTTACACAACTACATATGTCATCATCTTTCTTGAGACAATCCAAAATTTAATATTTGTGATATTGATCAATCATATATACTTGAAGAAGCATATGAGTTCTGAATTATGCAATTATTGATAGATAATGATAAAGATGTAATAAGCAATGAGTGAAAGTTCGAGTAGGTTGTTAGACCTATTTAAACTGTCCCAAGACTAACTAAAAGGGGGCACTGAATTGATAATTTAAAAAATTCTCTTGGATTTTAGAAAAATTTTTAAGTACTTTTATACATTGATAGATTCTAATAAAATAATTTTCAACCACAAAAATTTAAAGTGCATAAAATAAAAATGTAGTAAAAATTAAAAGAACACAAGAACACCAAATTTTTTAGTAATTCAGTCCAACTAGACCTACGTCCACTCCATAAAGACTCATTCTTTAGGTATTGTACTAAATCAAAAGTAACTCTCATTTTGCTCCCACAGTAATGTAGAGAAGCCCTTACAAAACTTCTCTTCCACTAACCCGGTGAGGCAGAGTACCGACATTTTTTCTCACCCTCCTAGTGATGGCAGAGTATCAACGTCCTTTCTCACCCTCCTGGTGATGGCAGAGTACCAATATCCTTTCTCACCCTCCTAGTGATGGTAGAGTACTATGATATTCTTTGAAAATCTTCTCTCAAGACCCTTCAAGAAAGTAGGAAAGAATTTTGAAGAACAAATAAGAGATCCTTAACTTTGGGCAACCTTGTGAATCCCCTCATAATTTTCTCTAACAAAATCTCTCTCTTCACTCTTAAAACACTCTCTCAAACATTCCTTATCCACTATTAAGAGAAATTTGCAGCAAGATCATGAGTGTCAGTTTTTAGGATATTTATATATGAAAGACAAGAAAAATCGTTTAAAAAACTAAAAATTACAACTAGAACGTACTCATATTCTAAGTACGATCGAGAATTGTCTTCATGAACAATTTAAAAATCGATGTACGATTTGTATAAACCTGATTTCGTACTCTGTCAGTCGTATGTACGAATTGATATTGTAATGTATGAACAGTTCAAAATTGAACTAATTCATCTAATACGATATTGTACGGACCTCATTTCGTGTAATGTGAGTCGTCTATATGAATCCCACTTCATACAGTACGAACCATTTAAACAAATCATGCTTCATTTAGTACAAACATGGACGACCCCCTTTCATACTCTGGAAGTCTTATGTACGAACCCCACTTCGTACGATATAAACAGTTCAAAAATTGATGAGTTCATTTGGGATGAATTGGTATACACCCGTTTCGTACTCTGTGAGTCGTCTGTATGAACATACATAGTACAATATGAACAATTCAAAAAAGATTTCCCGACATGATTTGATTAACTTCATTTTGGTGGAACTACCATAACAAATCATCAAATACGATTAGAAATTATACAGTACGATTAATTTTAAAATTTTAAGTTTTGACTTACTCCCTCAATGTGTGTGTGCACGGTTACCCAATTACAATCATACTCTCTCAAACTCAATAAAAATTTACATACTTCATTACATGAAACCCTAATCTATTATGTCTTGAAGTCTTCCCAAGTCTAGAGTATGATTTCCCTAAAATATTAGTACACACAAACAATAAAAAGAAAATATATCCAATGTATGCTAGGATAAATAATAATCAAAGCAATAATATTTTGGTATCATAAAAAATCACATTATTTAAAACTTAATCTTGAAATCTAAGTTACAACAATGAGTTGAGAAATGATGAAGATGCTGATGAGATGATCCATTTACTGGAGTAAAATTACAAATGTATTGATGGATGAGATGAATTAGGAGTCATATGTATGATCAAATTTCTCAGGAATTGTTGCTATAGAATTGTATATTTCACCATATGGTTGTCTTAACAAATATTTTATATTTCGATTTTATTTCTTGTTATAGCTGTTAGTTTCTAAGCTTTTCCTAGAATGCTTTCAACATTGATTGCTTGCGTTTTGCATTCCTTTTACTTATTATGTCTTAATGCTATAGACGGGTAAGCATTTCACCCGTGTGTCGACCGGGTTACGTGTGACACGAGTACTATCGGTTGGAGATCGATCTAACGGACCCTAAAAATTACCTAAGCTTGAGAGGACAGAAGAGGGAGAGGCTGCCATTACAAGGCGGCAACTCTTCCCCGCTTTTCTTCTCCTCCATCCGTCTCCGCAATCCCGCCTTTCGTCGCTGAGTTCTATAGAGATTTTGAGCTTGCTCGGGTTCAGATTCTGGTTTTTCATACTTCGTGTACAATATCTTGCTTTACAACCTATTCATATTCATGGCCTCTGCTGAAGGAAAAAACCAATCAGCGCCGAAACAAGAAGAAAAGCCAAAGATAGAGCCATTGAGACTCCCTACCATGGAGGAAATCCGAGGTCAGGACATCTGGAACAACTGCGCCGTCCGCAGCGTAGTCAGTGGAGTTATGGGTATGTTTCTGCTATTTTACTATTTTGTGTTCGCATAAACATTTAGAAAATGGCAGAAGACCTTGCTTGTTATCTTTCAATTGTTTAATGTTAGTTTTGATGACACCTGAATTCCTGGCTTCCAGCTTATGAAATGCGATAGATAAAACTTATGTTCTAATGGTGATAATATCATAAATTTTTTTCTTGGGGGAGGAAAAGCATAAAGAATGGGCATTTTTATGATACTGGTGAGTTTCGATCTTGAGCAACAACGAGCATATCGTGGTACTTAGAAATTTTATGAATTGAATGACTTAAATACTTGCTTTGTTTGCCTTTGGACAATAGCTGCGTTGAAATTTGATTGTTGGAATCTAAAATGTCTCATGTTTTATTGGATTAAGGTTATGATTGATTGATTGAAAGCCGCTTTTTGTCCATGAACTGAAACCAAGTGTTTTTGGCCCCTTTTCAAGTGGCCTCTCGGTCCTCTCCTATCAAATTATCATTAAAAAACCGAATCAAGAAAAACCAAATTATGGATGCTGGTTAAAGTTGGAAAACAAACCATCAGCAATTCAGCATCATCATTATGGACTTTATACTGACTATTTGGGGTTGTCTTTATAAATTCTCATCTTCTAAAAGTTCTTGAAGTTGCATGAGGTGTTAGATCTATGCATTCACAAATCTTTTTGAGATATTCAATCTTCTTGTTAGTCTTTTTGAGATGTGGATATGATAATGTCTATTACTCTTATTTTGTACTCTTACATACATTTAATATTATATTTACATTTGCCTTCTTGTCCCATGGATGTAAGTTGTTGGCTTAACTATATAAATTTTAATATTCTTACTTCTACGGTTGAGCTTATTGTTCTCTATTTTGTTTTTGTATGGTGTTATTATTTAGTGTGATTAGGCTGGTCATTTTACTTCAAAACTATTATAGGGGTAATTTCAGCCTTTTGTTGTGACATTATTAGCAGAGTTGCTAAAATATTCATAAGAAATGGTGTCCTATGGATTAAACCCTTCCACTGACATTGCCAAATAAGTTTGAGAAATTTAATGGAACAATATTTTTAAAATTTGGAATCTGAAGATGAGATTATCTTTTGTTGACAAAGGGATTGATTAAGCCATCAAAGGGAATTAATTCCTTAATTGGCATAAATTAGGTGGAGACGGATCAAAAAGCCCTCTATTTGATTGTCCTTAGTTCGGGAAATAAGGTTCTAAACATAAATAAATAAGAGTATCACACAGGATATGTGGGAAAGGTTGAAACAAATTTACTTGAATATTTAAAATTACAAGTATTTGCATTTCACATAAAGGTGATACATTACTATTAGATCATTGGATGCTCACAACAAGCTACTTTTGGATCCAACTATTGGATGTGAAGGCTGAAGAGGATGATAAAACTTTACTCTTGTTATGCTCTCTACCATCATCTTATGAGCACATCATTACCATCTTGTTATGTGGAAAATATATTATTTTAATAAGATAGGAGAAATTTACTCTTCTATCAAATGATTTGAGGAAGGTGCAAGGAGAAAGCCCAATCATGAGTTTATTTGTGAGGATCAATATTTAAAATTGCGTATTCGGGTATTGAGGCGTTTTTCATTTGTGAGGCGAGGCGTAAGCCTCAAGGCGTTTTGAGGCGTAAGCCTCAAAATCAAAAGATTACGTAAACATAAAATGATAAATTTTTTATATACTAATGAGTGAATAATATAAAACATAAAAAAGCATAAGATATGAAGTGAAATCAAAATATCCCAATAATAAGACAACATGAAATATAGTTCAACTCAAAATTCTATATTTCCCAAATCCTAGTATTCTTTTTATTAACATATAATTCCAATTTTTATAAAACGAAGATTTTAATTTAGGGTTTAACTAGGAAAGTAAAACCAAGCAACAAATACAAACAAAAAAGAGACAATGCAATGGAAAAGAAAGAATATTAGGATTTAACGTGGAAAAATCTGAAACTAAAAAAAAAAAAATCACGGAGCCAAACCACACCAAGAATTCCACTATAAAAATTGGGAAAAATTTTGTACAGATCTCTCTCTCTCAGTCTCTCCTTGTCTCTTCACTCTTGCACTGTTTTCTACTTAGAAATAACAAAGAGAAAGCACCTTAAAACCACAAAGGCATGTAACCCTTTATGAAAAATGTGGAAGAAAATTGTCCAGCCCGCCTCGCAGCACTGCGACGCTAATTTTAGAGCGGCGTGGAACTCTACTATTTGTCTCCAGTTAGTCTGATAGCGACGCAACGCTTTACTCTCTGCCTCTTGCTTGAGTCGCAGCGTCACGATGCTTCGCTCTGTTTGCTTCATATCAGATAATATAACGTCGCAATGCTCGGGTAAACAGCGCCGCAACTCTGTACGGTTGTATGAAAAAAAAAGGTCGACAGCCGCTGTATAGTTGTACGACCACTCGAACCCAAGCAGGGAGAGAACCCCCTTCCCCCTCGCGAGCTCAACAGATGGAATTGAGATCCAAGGTAGCAGTACAACTCGATTGATCGACACAATCTAATTTCACACAAAGCTAACAATCTCACACTTAAAAATTGATTGTGATCAATCCTTCTCCGGATTTATAGCACCAATCATAATACATGTAGTTTGGCTCACATTTACTCTCATCCTTAATGACGACCAACTGAACCTAACATAGTTTCAGTTCATCAACTATCATTGTCTTCGTCAGCATGTCTGCTGGATTCTAAGTTGTGTGAATCATCTCTAAATATAACTGACCATCTTCAAGAAGCGATCTAATGAAATGATACCGAAGTTGGATGTGGTTTGCCTTGTATGAAATGCATCATTCTTGGCTAGATGAATAACGCTCATGTTGTCACTATGTAAATTCCTAATCCTTTGCCCTTTTTCTAAGTTATGCCAAGAAACTTTACAATCATATCATCTCCTTGCTAGCCTCAGTGATAGCAATATACTCAACTTCAATTGTTGAGAGCGTAATAATTTTCTGTAACTTGGAAATCCAATTCATTGCAGTCTTTCCCAAAGTAAAGATATAACTAATTGTGCTTCTCCTACCATTATGATCTAAAGTAAGATTAGAATCTACATACCCCTGTAAATCAATCCCTATATCTCCAAAACAAAGAGCTTTGTCAACTAACCCTCTCAAGTACATGAGAATCCACTTAAATCGCCTCCCAATGAAGTTTTCCTTGGTTACTCATGAATTTATTGACTACTCGGTCTGCATATATTATATCTTATCTCATACAAATCTTAACATATATAAAACATCTAACTACTGAAGCATACAGAATTACAGATTCCTCTCCATCTATTCTTGCTCTGCTTCAGATTTAGGCTATTGTTGCTTATATAGCTGAAAATGACTACTCAAGGGAGTGCAAACTAGGGGTGTAACTAAGCCGAGCTGGCTCAAACTCGGCTCGTTAAGGAGCTCATGAGTCGAGCTTATTGAGCCACTAGTTCGAGCTTAAGCCTATATTTGAGCTCGTATATTAAACGAGCTCGAGGTCAGCCTGGTTCGACTCAAAACTTATTGAGATGCTCAATTAACTTAAAATATATTTAAAAATTAATTTAAATTAGCATTGTATAATATATTTTAATATTTTAAACTAAATTCTATATTAAAAATAAAAGTTCTAAAAAATTGAAAATTTTAATTTAAAGCTAAAAAAGAGAGCTCAACAATCAAGTCAAGCTTGAGCTTTCTAAACGAGCTTGAGCAGTTGTAAATTTGAATAGTACTTCTAACATCTGGTTTTTCTTTCAGCCTGTAAATCCATTGATTTTGCAGTGCTTTCTTGTCATTTGATAGCTTGTAAACTCCTCAGTTTGATTCAACTCAAGTGAATACATTTTATCATTTATGGCTTGCTCCCACTTCTTTGAATCGTAAATTTAAATAGCCTCATCATAACACTCTGGTTCATCACTATCTGTTAGCAATAAATAGTTTAAGAAAGGAAAATAATTTTATATTGGTTTTGAGATTCTATTGGATCTCCTAATTTCAGTAGCAGGTGTCTGAAGAATTTTCTGTGCTTTATCAGCTTGAGCATGCCTTTTATCTGTCTTCTTGATCATCATCATCATCTATTTCAACATTTTTGGAAGAATCTTCATTAGTCTCATTTCTATTATTGTACATTTTATTTTCATTGAATGTGACCCTCTTATTCCTGATGAACTTTTAATTATGATAATCCCAGAATTTATAGTCACATTCATTTGAGCAATATCCATAAATTTATAGTTGATAGATTTTGGATCAAGCTTACTCCTAGATCCTGCATCAACATGAACATATGATAAAAACCAAAACTTTTGAGGTGAAATAAACTTACCTTCTTACCACTCTAAGCTTCCTCAGGTAACCCTCATTCAAAGGAATTGTTGGACCACAACTGATAAAAAATACAATAATATTCACTATTTTTGCCCAAAACTACTTGGGTAGACTAGTATGCAGCTTCATGCTCCTGGCATGCTTAGTGATAATTCTATTTATGTGCTTTGCAACATCATTCTACTCTGGTGTTCTTAGAACAGCGAACTTATGCTTGATGTCATTTAAAGTATAATACTCCTTGAACTTCTTATCACGATACTCGCCGTTATTCTCTGATCTGAGACACTCGAGCCTTAATCCTTTCTCATTCTTAACCATGGTCATTTATTGCTTGAATACTTCAAACACACATGAATTGCATTTTAAGAGGTAAACACATCTTTCTGCTATGATTATCAATAAAAGTGACAAAATATAGAGATCTTATAGAAGAAATTAGAGTAGGACCTCATACATTAGTATGCACTGTCACCTCCCGACCCGGTAAGCTCGCATAAGCGAGGCGAGAACAGAGGTCGAACAGTAAAAATTAAAAACATTCACATTTCATAATCAAAACATCTCCAAATCTTCAAGAAAGAGCCACTATAAAAAAATGCCAAGTAAAAATTTTCTTTC